GCCCCGGCCTGGCCTGTTGCACGCTCGTCGGGCGTTCCGGGGGAGCCGAGGGCACTTGGGGAGGGCAGCGAGGAAGCTGGCGGCGATTGGGACGCTTACGTCGCCTCGTGTTTTGTTTTGTTTTGTTTTAAAAGGAAGTTTCTTAGGGGCGAGACGACACATCAAAGGAACAGACCGCAGTGAAACACCACGAGGCGTCTGGAATGCTGCGGGCCAGCCAGGGCAGTTGCTACCTGAAGCCCCGACCTCGACGCTGGGTACTTCTGGAGAGGCTCCAGGGGGTTCTTTCCTCGAGACACCACGCTGTGGGCCCTCCGAACGAGAAGGCTTGCGGGGCCTCGGCAGGGCGGGGAGCGGGAGCCAGCACGCCTGAGGCGCCAGGCCCCGACCTCAGGAAGGAGCGGCAGGAGCGTCAGAAATCGGCTTGGGCAACCCCTTCGGGTCCCCTCCAACTGTGGGAGCTTTCCTGTCCTCTCGATAAAACTTGCTTTCTAAAAAGAAAAAGGACATCGGCTCATCCCGATGTTCCATCGCGATAGGCCTCCCCGATTGGCAAACCAAAAGACCAGGAAGGTGCGTGGGAAAAGCATGCAGTGCTTATTTAGGTTAAGCAAGGATGGACTCATTTGCCAAAATCTGAGGTCATGGAACAGGGCACACCTAAAACCTAGTGAGTTGACCCATCACTAAATATCGCCTTATATGGTTGAGAGGAGACATGGAGTGCCTCCCATGGAGGGGTGCGGGTACACTAAAATTAAAGCAGTTCAACATGACTTCACAGAAAGCCAAGGAGGGCAGAACCAAAGGCTGTTCGTCTCCTCGGGATGCTTCCAGAGGCAGAGACTGAATGGGCCTGGAAGGCCATCACTACACGACTCTCCTCAAAATACCCTTATGTAGATCACTCCGGGGCAAGTGAAGGTGTCCCTTGACGCTCAAATCTCAACTACTTTCCTCCACCAAGGGGGCCCTAAGATCCCTTAAGAAAGATTTGGAGACCATACACAGATCTCCGGAGGGAGGCACTTTACCCTAATAAGCCAGCTGGAACTGAGCACCTTCATGGATATTGTACTGCAATGATTGTGTTCACACCACATAGCTCCAGGACTTATGCATGCCTGGGACTTAACACCAGCCAATGTGAATAAATACACTAACACCACAAGACAGTTCATAGCCACAGATATTTATTGAGTGCCCATATGCAAGAAGGAAGACATGGTCCCTGCTCTCATGGAGCTTACAATTTCATTACTCCAAGATTTGAATAGATTAAAAAACAACTGCAATGAGCACTTGTCTTTGTCTACCTGTCAGCAGCACTGTATGAAGCAAATGTTTCACATTATTGGTCACTTACAGTGAAATTGTTAAATGTGAGTAAAACATAATTATCTTTGAAATCTGTGCTCATCATGATGACGATATATGTCCAGAAAATGCAAATTTATGGCTTGATTCCTCATATATCTGAGGGATCTACTGAAATAAAGCACAAATCAGGTGGAAAAGGCTTAATATCACAGGTCCTAAGAATACCAGTGTAGTTTAACATATTATCAAACTACCACAGAGCTTTTGGCAGGGCAGGAAATTACTTCCAGCAAAATTTGTGCAATATAATGGGTTTAATCAGATCTGTAAATCTCATCACCATACATGATCACTCATGACAGGTAAATATGATTTATCTTTATGATTCCTAAAGTGTGCATTTTTTAAAGCTTCTTAAAGACTTGCAGCACAAGTAGCACATTAAAATTGAGTGAAAACTGCTTTTGAGATACCTACAAATTAAAGTGACAAAAGTGTCTAGTTTTACTACATACATAGGTTCAGGGTTCAGAATTCAAATAGCATTCAGCAAAGCACCTGGCTTTTCTGGTTAAAAAGGGGAACACTTTCAGGTTGATTATCAAACTCTAATCATAGTCTCCACACATATCTAACACCCACTGGTAGGCACTTTCTTCACATAGTTCTGTTCACAGGCCCTCGCCTTTAGATGTCTACTCATAGAACATTTGAGGAAGCAGTTATTTTTATTACACTGGCAATAACTTTTAGGAAAACAGCCTGTATTTATATCAAATAACTCCCAAATGATCAATTTTATTAAGATCAAAGTGTTTTCTAAACTTGTACCTGACAGGTTATCAAGTTTTTAAAATTTCAGTCATTAAAACACACATACACACTCACACCCCAGAGGGAAACTCATTTAAGCTCCAAGAAAGCTCACGTTTTTTGCAAAGGGTGGAAAGAACATCTTATACCAGCTAACAGAAATGTCAATCCAAGGTGATTTTTAGGTCAGTGGCTTGGAAAACAGTCTATTTCTCTATATTAAAAAGTATACTACCTTGGCTGGGCACGGTGGCTCAACCCTGTAATCCCAGCACTTTGGGAGGCCAAGGTGAAAGGATTGCCTAAGCCCATGGGTTCGAGACTAGCCTGGGCAATTTGGCAAGACCTCATCTCTACAATAAATCAAAAAATTAGCCGGGTGTGGTAGCGTGCGCTTGTGGTTTCAGCTACTTGGAAGACTGAAGTGGAATGATCACCTGAGCCCAGCAGGTCGACGCTGGGGTGGCTGTGAGCTTGCCACTGCACTCCAGCCTGGGGTGACAAAATGAGACTCCAAAAAAAAAAAAAAAAAAAAAAGAACACTACCTTAAAAGTCTACTTAGAATGAATCAGTAATGTACTGTTTATCGAGCACTTACTAAGCACCAGGCACTTTACATCCTCTTCCTTAACAAAAGGAATTCTATCATCTCGCCTTATCATTTACAGCTGAGGAAGGCAGACCTGTGCCACGTGTGGCGCAGATCTGTCTGGCTCCACGTCTTCTCTCATGTTCCCCCATGCCCAGCTGTACATAGCCCCAGTGTAGCTGTGTTAGCTACACCTGCTATTGCTTCAGTTGGAAAGGTACTTCAGTCTTGTAGACCTTCCACACCACAGGAGTAGCTGCTGCAAACAGAGGCTTTGAGAGGGAAAGGAAGGGGACCATTCTGTTCTGGGCATGAGGAGAGAGTTCACTTTCAATTTGTGTTCAAAAAGGCACTTCCCAGAAGTGGAAGATTCACTTAGGTTTTTTGTTGTTGTTTTTTTACAGCGCAGCCCCAGACAACAACAAAAACAGTTTGCCTCCCTGGGATAATAGTTGCTATTTGAGATTGCCACTTTTCCTACTTTAAGGTCAAGCTGTTTTTCAGCTGAGTGTTTATAACATAAGCATTATCAAAAGGAAAGACAGCTGAGAGAATTTTCCTTGGTTTCCCTTGTCATAGCTATGAAGAAAAAATAAAGATTAAAACAAATAAGTGACTGATGGTTCCAATCTATTACACACTTCAAATATCAAAGCACATGCTTTCTGAGAGAGAGAGAGGTGTAGAAGATGTTTTGATGGAGCTTAATGCCTTTTTTGGAATAAGCCAATATAGGATACTAGATAACTCTTTGGAAAGATAAACTATCATCTTTTCTGAAATGGCAATTTCTTTATTCTTAAGAATGTAGTACACTTTACAATAAAAGTAGGGAACAAGGAAATTTCCTAACAATTTTCAGGTCTAGGAACATATTAAAGAAGGGAATATCATCAGTAAAGTAAATCCCCTTACTAGGGCTTGACATAAGTTGTACTAGACCTTGATTAAAATGAACTTTTTATTTACTATGACTAGGAGATCTTTTTTTTAAGGCCAGAAAAAAAAAATCAAGAATAAAGGCACTTGATTCTATCAATAAGTAATTTTGATTAGCCTGAAGTCTTCAACTGGTAGCGGCAGTTGAAAGCAAAGTTTCAACTAGCACTGTCAAATGGGTCCCCTCTTCCTGCCGAGAAGGGAACAGGGCTCTGGACCCCCAGCCTGGAGATCAGCCAGGTGAAACTGGGGTGAAGGGTGTCCAAAGATCATTTGAGATCTTGTTCGCTCAGAACAACAGAGATGGCTTGGTTCATTATAACCATATATTACTCAGAGCTACTTAAGGAGGAAAAATTCAAAAGCAGACCAGAATTTAAACCCTGAGCATGTTCAGTGGGAATCAACTTAGAAAGTCTGGGTCAGTGCATTTATCAACACTGACCCAGTTAGAATGTGTGGAGCACTGGATTTGATGAGCCACCAAAAAGTGGGCAGTTAAGCAGCCTGAACTTAACCAGCGGGCCCAACACAAACTTGCCAGGGCTCCCAGAGCAGAACATAGCCTCTTGCCCAAGCGCTGCTTCTGAGAGCCAGGAGCTTCTGCAGAGGCTAACAGGAGGTATCAGGCTCCATCCACATACATTCCCTGCCCATAAATGAGTAGACTGCACTGATTAAAACCTGGTGTTCTCACAGCACCTACTATGGATTTATTTATTTTTGGTAAGGGTAGAGGGGGTAAAAAATATCCAGATGACTACTGTGATTGACAGCTGAAGTCATGTACACGAGGGAAACCAGGGCTACTCTTAGCCCTTCACTGGGTGGTGCTTGTATTTCATCAATGGTTTATCTGTCCACTTATTGTCCAGGGTGGGACACAAGTCACAGAATAAGCAGACAGGCAGAGAGCTACAGCTCTCCAACTATATAACTTTCTTAGAATGACAAAACTTGAGAATTAATATCCCTCTCATTTTTTTCTCTTCTTACAAAGTATAAGGAAAACAAAATGAGTTATATTCATGTAGTGCTCAGAGCTTTCCAATAGTCCATTATTACTATTTAGATATTCACTCTAAGACATGTTTCAAACAGAAATTGCATGATTTCTTAAAAACCTCAACACAACTGAAATCCAAGGTATGCTCTGTTTTTGTATTCAGCATGTATTAGTCTATAATTATGGAAGCTGTTAAGCTTTATTTTAAAAAAAATGAACCATATTTACAGTTTAGAACAAGTTTATAAAATCAGTGTGCAAAGTTAATTGTAAAAGGATAACACTATTTGTTTAGAAACAAGCTGCCTCCCCTGTTTATATTTTCTTATTCTTGATATAAATTGGAGACATATACTATTTAAAAATAACACTTTTTAAATAGTAAAATATACAAGAGATTCCTGAGCATAACAAAAATATCTTGAAAATATGTGGCCATTTGAAGTATAAAATAGCAAGTGTAAGAATAGCATGATTGTAAAACTACTGTCTGAAGAAGGCTTATAAACAATACAAAATAGTTTGCCTTTTCTGAGTGCATAATTATACATTAGTGCAAACAAAACTGTCTCAAAATTTAATGGCTACAAATCTCAAAGATTTGCAGAGGTGCGCAGAACATGAAATTTCTTTAGTGTCATGCGAACTGAACCCAGTTCTCGATTAATCCTTTCCAAACGATCTTCCAAGGCTTCCTAGGTGAAAATAATGGAAAAGGTTAATTAGAATTCTACAGCAAGTTCACTGGTTCTATAATTACCACCAAATTGACCATTCTTTTAGCAAAACAACAAGTATACACATTAAAATAAGTTATTTTACTTTCTACGCAAGTTATCTCATCATTTATAGTATTTCTTTTACTTTTTATTTTTTTAGCCAGGGTCTCATTTTGTTGCCCAGGCAGGAGTGCAGTGGCATGATGATCACGGTTCACTGCTGCCTCCACCTCCTGGACGCAGCTGATCCTTCAGCCTCAGCCCCCTGAGTAGCTGTGACTACAGACACGTGCTACCATGCCCAGCTAATTTTTTTTGTAGAGACAAGGTCTCACTATGTTGCCCAGGCTGGTAACATACTCCTGGGTTCAAGTAATCCTTGGCCTCCCAAAGTGTTGAGATTATAGACATGAACCACCATGCCCGGATTTATATTCTTTTAAACTGAAAATATGAATCAGCTTTTTAACCATTCAAAATAACTGCTGCACTTTAAAATATTCTCAATATGTTTGGCACATTGAGTATATGAAAATTCTAGTAAAGCAATACAACCAACTGGAAGGGGATAATTCCTTGGCTCTGCTGGACTAAGAACAGTACAAGAGGAACCTAGGAGATATGCTTCACACATTTCCACCAGAAGAAATGGACACATCTGATCAGTACTGTATCCTACACATACAATAACTTTCTTCTGATCAAAATGTCTAAGTTACAAAAGAAGAAAAACACTGGAGGTTACTTTTCCAAAAAAACAATAGATTTTACAATGAATTAATGTAACAACTGCTATTTTAAAATAAATACTATTACCTTTAAATAGTACCAAGAATATATCATTTTCTTTTTTTTGGAGTTGGAGTCTCACTCTGTCCCCCAGACTGGAGTGCAGTGGCCGCTCCCGGCCACCGCAGCCTTGACCTGCTGGGCTCCGGCAATCCTTCCGCCTCAGTCTTTCAAGTAGCTGGAACTACAGGCGCGTGCTACCACGCCCGGCTAATTTTTGATTTATTGTAGAGATGAGGTCTCGCCAAGTTGCCCAGGAGGGTCACGAACCCATGGGCTCAGGCAATCTACTCACCTCGGCCTCCCAAAGTGCTGGGATTACAGGCTGAGCCACCGAGCCCGGCCAAACATATAGTTTTCAATCAGCTTTCTCAGATTGAAACATATTATTTTAGATACTTTATTCAATATTAATTCCAATGGTGTTCTGAAATAAAACTTAAAATTTTTATCTTTAACTATTAGTTTAATTATAAAAGCACACATTGTAGACTATTTAGAATATAGGATTTTTAGAAAACAGATGAGCAAAAAGAAATAACCATTGTTCTTTCCTATTTTTTCCCTGTATATGTATATGCAGACCACTTTTGGTTTTTTGTTTTTTTTTTTGTTTGTTTGTTTGTTTTTGAGTTGGAGTCTCACTCCATCACCCAGACTGGAGTGCAGTGGCCGCTTCCTGGCCACCGCAGCCTCGACCTGCTGGGCTCCGGCGACCCTTCCGCCTCAGCCTTCCCAAGTAGCTGGAACTACAGGCGTGTGCTACCACGCCTGGCTAATTTTTTGATTTATTGTAGAGATGAGGTCTTGCCAAGTTGCCCAGGCGGGTCTCGAACCCGCAGGCTCAGGCAATTCACTCACCTCAGCCTCCCAAGGCGCGGGATTACAGGCTGAGCCACTGAGTCCGGCAACTTTTGTTTTTTGCTGGTTTTTTTTTTGTTTTTGAGTTGGAGTCTCACTCCGTCACCCAGATTGGAGTACAGTGGCCACTCCCAGCCATCGCAGCCTTGACCTGCTGGGCTCCGGCGATCCTTCCGCCTCAGCCTTCTGAGTAGCCAGAATTACTGGTGCGCGCTACCACGCCCAGCTAATTTTTTATTTATTGTAGAGATGAGGTCTCACCAAGTTGCCCAGGCGGGTCTCAAACCCGCGGGCTCAGGCAATCCACCCACCTTGGCCTTCCAAAGTGCTGGGATTCAGGCTGAGCCACTGAGCCCGGCCTGCATACCACTTTTGAGAAGAAAAATAAAAAGAGAAACTATTTTACAATATAGTTCGTTTTTTTTTGTTTTTTTTTTTGAGTTGGAATCTCACTCTGTCGCCCGGACTGGAGTGCAGTGGAACACTCCCGGCCACCGCAGCCTCAACCTGCTGGGCGCCAGTGATCCTTCCGCCTCAGCCTTCCAAGTAGCTGAAACTACTTGCTGGGATTACAGGCTGAGCCACGGAGCCCAGATTTTTTTTTTTTTTTTAAGAGATAGGATATAGCTCTGTCACCCAGGCCAGAGTACAGCGGTACAATCATAGCTAAGCCTCAAACTCCTGGGCTCAAGTAACATTCCTAAGTACCTGGAATTACAGGCATGCACCTGGTTATACCTGGCTAAATTTTTAAAACTTTTTTTTGTAGAGACAGATGTCTCACCATATTGTCTAGACTGGTCTCGAGCTCCTGGCCTTAAGTGATCTTCCTGCCTCAGCCTCCCAAAGTGTTGGGATTACAGGCATAAACCACCGCACTCAGCCATCAAAATATTTTTCAACTGAACTTTTCATGTCATAAAATATCCTTCTACAACATCCTTTAAAACTAAGTATATAATATTTAATCAAATGTAACATATTTAACCAAGAATCTTTTAGAAATTTAGGTTGCTTCTAATTTTGGATATCATAAATAAGGTTGCGATAAGTTACTTAAACATATCTCTTTGCACATATCTAGAAGTATTGCCTTAGGAATCATTCCAGAAGTAAAAATGCTAAGTCCAAAGAAATGCAAATTTCTAAGGCTATGAATATATGTCAAGTTGTATTCCACAAGGTTTGACAATTTCTACTTCCACCTGCACTGTATGAGAATAAGCCTTTCTTCATCCTGAGAACTGTTTGTTCAAAAATATGTGCCAATGTGATAGTTTTTAAAAAGGTGTTTATTGGCTGGGTTTGGTGGCTCAGCCTGTAATCCCAGCACTTTGGGAGGTCGAGGCGAGTGGACTGCCTGAGCCCGTGGGTTTGAGACCAGCCCGGGTAACTTGGCAAGACCTCGCCTCTACAATAAATTTAAAAATTAGCCAGGCATAGTAGCGCATGTCTGTAGTTCCAGCTACTTGGAAGGCTGAGGCGGAAGGACGTGGGGTGGCCATGGGCAACAGAGTGAGACTCCAACTCAAAAACAAAAAACAAAAAACGTGTTTATTTTTTTAGAGACAGGATCTCACTCTGTCACCCAGGCTAGAGTGCAATGGCACCATCATAGCTCACTGTAACCTCAAACTCCTGGCCTCACGCAATCCTCCCACCTTGACTTCCTAAAGCGCTGAGATGACAGGTATGAGCCACTGTCTGACTCCTAAAAAGGTGTCTAAATGTGTATAGTTTTTATTCGTTAGTGAGGCTGACCATTTTTCATTTTTATTTATTTATTTTGGAGTGGGAGTCTCACTCTGTCGTCCAGGTTGGAATAAGTTTCATTGAGTGCCTCAACCTGCTGGGCTCAGGCGATCTTTCTCCCTCAGTCTTCCAAGTAGCCAGAACTACAGGCACATGCCACCACACCCAGCTAATATATATTTTATATATATATTATATAAAGACAAAGCCTTTATATATATTATAGAGACAAAGCCTTGCTAATCCTCTTGCCTTGGCCTCCCAAAGTGCTGGGATGATAGTCGTGAGATATCATGCTCCGCCCATTTTTCATCTTTTTTCATTAAATTTTACTTTTTTACTGATGAATCACACACAAGCATCCTCAGCCCCTTGTTGATCCCATTTGTCTTCTTAAGGACTGAAACAGTTTCGACATACATGAACAGAATGCAATGCCCTTTACGTTTTACTTTAAGAGTCAGAAAGAACTTATACTATTCATTATATAAAAACATATTAAGCGAATATTTCAGATTGATTTAGAATCAGAGTATCAAATTTTCCTTCTGCTTTCCTAGTAAATTATTTTAAAAATTTTGGCTGGGCTCGGTGGCTCAGTCTGTAATCCCAGTACTTTGGGAGGCCAAGGCGAGTGGATTGCCTGAGCCTGCAGGTTCAAGACCAGCCCAGGCAACTTGGTGAGACCTCATCTCTACAATAAATCAAAAATTAGCCAGGCTTGGTAGCACGTGCCTATAATTCCGGCTACTTGAAATGCTGAGGCAGAAGGATCGCTGGAGCCCAGCAGGTTGACGCTGGGGTGGCTATGAGTGTGCCAATGCACTCTAGCCTGAGCAATGGAGTGAGAGTTCAACTAAAAAAAAAGAAAAGAAAAAATTTTCATGTGTTAACGTAATCTTAAAAATTACTGAATTTCCCAGAACAAAAATAAGAAAAAGACTTGAAGTCAGAGAAAAAGAAATGTTAGGCAAACAGGCCCTAAGAAAAGACTTCTGTTTTCTTTGTGTCTTTATTTCTGGTATCACAGATCAATCTGAAAATGAATTTTTACCGAAGTCAAACCACTAGAAAGCTAAAACGTGCAGTTATATAAGATACATACTTGCTGTTATGTTTAAAATGTTACTAAAAGAGCAGATTTTAAATGTCCCATGGTTTCATGCATTTTAATTCTCTTTGAAAAGCCACTAAAAGAAATGCACATGGGCCACATTGCCTGCACCACCTCCTGCTCAATAATGGAATCACATCTCTTTTTAAACCTCTAAAGTACAACTGTTTTCATATTTACTAAATGGAAAGGAGTTCAGAAATAAATTACAGATTTGGAGAGGGAGAAATCAAACAAAAAGGGAGACAATCTGGGAGCATTAACTTAACAATGTAAAATCAGAAAATATATTGCCATTTGCTCCCAAGTTAGTTTCCTAAAAATATAATGGCATGAACACCCTTTTCTTGAAGTCTAAAGGTAAACTCCATTTTAAAAAAATTCCTGAAAGCTAGTTTGCAGTTATAAAACTGCAGTAATCACCAGGTCAGGCACAGTGGCTCATGCCTGTAATCCCAGAACTTTGAGAAACCAAGGCAGGAGAGACACTTGATTCTAGGAGTTCGCGATCAGGGGCAACATAGTGAGACCTCATCTCTCCAAAAAAATACAAAAATTTGGGCTGGGTGCAGAGGCTCAGGCCTGTAATCTCAGCACTTTGGGAGGCCAAGGTGAGAGGATTGCCTGAGTCCAGGAATTCAAGACTAGCTTGGGCAACTTGGTGAGATCTCATCTCTATAATAAATAAAAAAATTAAGCCGGGCTCGGTGGCTCAGCCTGTAATCCCACACTTTGGGAGGCCGAGGTGAGTGGA